TTAACTATGAATTTGTGAATAAATTTCATAAAAATCTAGAACTTATTATAAAATTATTAAAGTTGAATTAACTTTATAGGGAAAAAAAAAAAAAAGACGTGCAAATTAATGACATGACCCAAGATATAGTCGTACCCTTAATTGAAATTGAAACATAAAAATGTGTATGGGAAAGTGACTAGCATGCGCGAGGACGACTATGACACGGAGCATCCGATGCTGGAAATGGCACTACAATTTTAACGTTAAATGACTTGTGAACCAAAGTATGTAAGTCAAATTTAATAATTGTCATTAATTATTTTAACATTTTAATTTTTTATTTTCTATTTATGGAATTCTACAATATTTATATAAATAAATAAAAAATTCAGAGTTTAAATTTGAATCTAGTACGAGAGCTTAGTATCATTATGTTGAAATTTAATTATTTAAAATAGTTTCATATCTCAATTTTAGTGGGATGACAACATGATAATTAAAAATTCAATAAATTAAGAAAAGAAAGAAAATAAGAAAAACAAGAAAGAGAAAAAAGGAAAGAAGCCCAGCAATGAAAAAATAAATCAAAAAAGAAGGGGAAGGGAAGGGCAGAAAGCCCATCCCACGAGCTACACTGCTCTAAATGACGTCGTTTCGAGCCAGGCTTTTAGAAGATTATTTAAAAGATCACTGTTTAAACGACGTCGTTTCAACGGACGTAAATAACCCAGACGCTTTAAGGCTTCTAGCCACGAGGAGAAGAAGAATAGGAGGAGCTCGCGAAAGAAGAAACCCGTGGGGAAGAGAGAGTTCACAAGCGGAAAGAGAGAGAGAGGGAGAGGGCTCGGGTTCTTTGAAACTCAATTTTTTTGTTCTCGTGGATTGTTTTACATTTGTTTGCTCAAATTTAAGGTCCTTAAAAAATTTTTATTCTTGTGAACCGGTTATTATTTAAATTTAATATTTACATTATTAAATATTTAACGTATAATAATCTAATTAAAATACATTAAATGTTCAACAAAAATCAACAAGACACTTCTAATATATATTAATTACTAAAAACTAAATTATAAAATTTTTGAAAGAATATAATAAAAGTAAAATTACATAAAAAAACAAAACTAATTTAAATATTTTAAAATAATATAAAGACCGACATAATATTTTAATCCCTCATTAAATTAACGTTATTTGTGAGAAACATGTGTATAATTATAGTGATAAAAATGAACTTCACTTATTAAGGAGAAAACTTTTGTAAAAATAATAATAATAATAATTAGTTGATCAAAGGCCATTGACCTTAAATTAGTGTACAGAGAGGATAGTATTTATTTTTATTTTTTAAATATGATGAAGGAAACCTTACTCATTAAAAATATATATATATATTATACTAGATCGTCAAGCAAACGTCAATATGAATTTTAAGAATGAACAAAGTAAACTTGTTTGCCCATAACAGTTAATATATTTCACTAGCTACTCTAAAAAAGACATACATATATATTTATATATCATGAAAAATAATTTAATGTATAAAACTATTTATATGTAGAAATTACCAAAGTAATAAACCTTACTTATTTTAAAACTATTGTAAATAAAGTATGAGACACTTTTTGTATTGAACAATTTATAAGAAAAACATGTACTAAGCAGTAGTGACATAGTATAATAATTATAATACTATTACATTCTAAATACCATCAGTTACATGACTATTAGAGTTGTCATCAAACTATTCAATTGTAAAGTCACAATTCTTTCTTTCTATTATCTTCTTATTACTTCAGTGATTATAACATGACAAATATATTAGATAATATTTTACTCTTACAAATAAATCATATATAAAAACAAAATAAATTTAAAAATAATATTCAAATATATATGTTTAGTGACAACTATTTTGATAATTTTATTAAAAAAAAAAAAGATTTCATTTATTATTTTAAAATAATTTATTATTAATTTAAATTATTTGATTTATATATATAAGAATTTATTTTTATCACAATAATAACAAGTTTTCTTAATACCAACTGTAACGACTCGTGAACTTGAAAGGAAATAAATTACGAATTGAATGCAGAAGCGAAATAAATAGTTATGGTTTACATTTCTTACACAATAATTCAGATTACCCAATAGGGATACGAGAATTGACATTTTTAAATGAAATAACGAAAATCAAAGAAATATATGAAAAGTAAACAACTGAACATCCTACTTGCAACCCTCTTGTGGATCGAGCTCTGGATCTTGGTCCTCTTGATCTAAAATGGTTAATGAAAGAGTGAGTTACACTATTCTAGTAAAAATATCACGCTACTCATCGACACAGAAATGAAGCTTGGTAAAAATCATGAATAAAATCATTTCTTGCATACTTACCGTAGTGAGATTTTTAAAACCAACCTATAGAGTTAATAACATAAACAATATTATAATCTCATATGCAATCAGTCGGCAACAACAACTTTCTCCTTTATCTGCCTACAGGTATCTATGGGGGTCCATATGGATGTCCACACTATGCGTGAACCCATTTTTTTTTAATATTTTCAACTAACGGGCTATTCTCATACCTCGTCCGGTATGAGCGCCAAAATATCATCCCTCAATACCCCGTCTGGCATGAGGGTGAAACGAACCGTTCTCATACCCCGTTCGGTATGAGTGCCAAAATACTAATCTTCGATACCCCTTCCAAGATGAGCCAACGTTCACCGTAGGGTTCCTTATGTACCCGGTCCATCCACCATCTATCAGGATATCCAATAATGCTACTGTTCATTTAT